CCTACCGTATTGACCTCGCTATCGCTCGGTCAATACGGCAAGGCCTCAGTTTGAGATTTTCCCGTAACGACCTCACTCTCGGTTATTAAGTAGTTAGTCATTACAGTGAATCAGTGCCTCTCTCCAATCAGGTGTAGAATTGGTACCAGCAAATTCAATGCTGGGGGTAACCCTGGAATGACCTGTCATCACATCCAAGGGGGAGTAGAAATAGTCTTAGTGGCTTCATGCTACAGAAACCAGGACAAGCTCCAGCTTGATAGGCCACTAATGGCTTAGATGCAGACTTAAAATATCTCTACTTCATAAACAAGACATAATATATTTAATATTAGAACTTACATTTTAACTGTTTCAGACTCAAGTATTCTTACCAGGGTCTCCCTCGGGAGGAATTGCTCTGCTCCTTGTTCTTGATCGCCCTTGGTTTAAAAACTCCCGTCGAGAGATGATCCTCTCATCTGCCTTCCCAGCCTTAAATGGAGGTCTGACAGAAGGTGTGGCTGACTTTGGTCGGCGTGATGGGGATAGTGACCTTGATCTTAATGTTACTCTCCCAGAATTTTCTGGTCTCCGAGGACATTCACATATGCAGTGATACTCCTTAGCGTGCAGACTGTGGTTATGGTGCCTTGGAGCAGGGGTTAAAACAAGTTCTTCTTCAGTCTCTGTGCTGCTCTCAGTCTGAGAAAGATAATTAGAGTCAGTGATTTTCTTTGTAATCTGAATTTTTTCTATTATGTCAGTCCTTACTTGGATATGCATAATATAATTTGTGACGACAAAAATCAATTTATACAGTCGCACCTCTTCACAATGGCCACCTGGGGGACAGAGGAAATTGGTTGTTATAGAGAAGTGGCCATAATGGGAAGTTAGAGGTGTAATATGACACCTTTTTTCTTTTCCGGGTGCAACATTTTTAGCATAATATAAATCAATAAAACAGAAACTTAACAGAAACAGATATCAACAGCGTGCAGTACAGATCATGTTTGTCAAGAGGCTATTTTGGCATTTGGGAAGAGTTTTAGTGACCATTGACATTGTGGAAAGGTGGCCATTGTTAAGTAGAGAAGTTAATTTAAATAAGTGTGAATGTATGGACTGTTTGTCAGAATTAAAAAAAGTGGCAGTTGAAGAGAGGTAGCTGTTGTGGAGAGATGGCTGTCAGTAGAGGTTCGACTTTATTTAAATTCTAATTGATCTCTAGACTAGATAGAGTTATTTATTAGTTAATTGCACCTCAGAATCAGACTCGGAATCTTCATTGTGCTGAACGCTGGTGAGCTCGGCATAAGTTCCAGGAACAGTTGTCTCTTGGATTGTAGAATTTGAGGAGAATTCTAACTTTGGATCAATTCCCTGAAATTCCAAACAACATTTAGTTTTATTAACAGTTAGCAGCATAACATTTAAGATGCAAGTTAAGTTAGCGAAAGTAGAAGTTTTAAAGGAGCAATGTCACAGTTTGCACATTTTGAAAAGTTTAGCCTAAATTTTTCAAGTTTGTCATTGGTAATCCATGTCAATCTTCTCCATCCTTAACCATCCTTGTTCTTTGGTGTTTCTCTCTCTTTTACTTTAGTTGGTATTTAAACTATTAGTTTTAGGTTTCCTTCAATTTAAAGGTAATTCTGAACTTGGTTAAAATAAGTCAAAGTACCATGACTGAGCTCGTTTAGGTAGATATATACATAATTTTTCCATAAAGGTTCTTGTCCACTTACAGTGAAGTGCACTGTCCGGCTCAGCAACACTTCCCTGTCCATACCATCTTTGCCTGTCAGGGTTGGTGTGGGATAAAGAAATTCTCTAGCTGATTGCTCATAACGAGCTAAAACTTTTCCACCTTCCATAAAAAGAAAAAAACAAACAAAGAAATAATAAGAAGTTTATAAAGGGTAAATTTGGAAAATCCACTGCAGTACAGAACAAAGCCTAAAAGTCTCCCTCACCTCAGGTGGATATCATAGCTGACAACTGTCAAAGTTAAATATATATAGTATACTGGTATATATATTTTTTTAAGAAAGACCATAACCTGCCTCCTACAAGCCCTGGGCTATGTACAACTTTGTAAGGGGTTTTGGATGGGCTTATAAACAGAAGGGCTTATATCTGAGAGGGNAGGGGGCTTATAAGCAGAATTAAAACAAAAACATTTCAAAATAAGCTACATTACTGTTGATCAAAAATTGTTTTTCAGATACTGGTTTTAAATTAAGCTTTAAAGAATCATAATAAATCAAATTCATTTCATTTAATACAAGAGGGTGGGCTTACATCCAGGGGACCTTAGAATCAGAAGTAATACTTTATTTTGTTTACAGGTTAGTGGGCCTATAACCAGAGGGGCTAATATACTTGAGAGGGCTTAAAAGTGGCAGTTTACGGTAGTAAAAGTCTACTTCAAATCGTTTTTCAATCATAAGCTTTACTATGTGCTATCTCTGAGCCACGCTATCTCTTTGTTTCTCTCAAGAGTTCAAGATATATAGGATTCAATTAATATTTTAATTAACAATTGATTCATAAGTTAGTTTGTGTCATCAAGTTATGATGCAAGAGGGAATTCGCAAGGCACAATTTAAGAAGCGTAGGAGTTGCTTGAGTCACAGCCAAGAGCAACTTTGGCTTCTCAAGTGCTCTCCAACTTCTTATGAGCATCATAACTCAATGACGCACAGCTTAACTGCTCACAAATCAATAAAATTATTATTTAATACCACTGCCGCTCAGAAATAAATTCTCTTGCAAAGCAAAGTTTTCCTGAGGATACATCATCAGATTATGATCCACACTTATGTTAATACTAAGTTTGATCGCACAGCTTTTCTAGCTACATGTTTATATGTTATAACTATATACATCTATATTGTGTATTTTGTCCAAAGCAGACCAGACAGGTGCAAAAAAGAGAAAAAAGAAATATTTAAGCTAAAAACACTGTTATAATATCTTGATCTACCATGAAACTCTTGTAACTAACACTACAAGAAATATATGGCAATCAGTTGGGAGAATTTGATGCCATAGTTACGTTTGAAGTAAACTTACCCCTGTAAACATCAGAATACTGTACAAGCTCAAATAACACATGCTCATCTGTAAAATGGGCGAATATGATAATCAGCAATTGGTTATGAAAATAAAAGGTTGTCGAGGCTCTTCAAAAATTAATGAAAATAAGTTGACATGACAGACAAGTTGTGGCTCGCCGGCCGGGGCTTACCTTCTAGAATACCTATAACATGCGTAGGTTCCCTTGCATTCACAAAAGTCTGCAAAGAACAAAAGGATCTTCGTTAGGAATCTGCATGATTGAATCATTAAGCTAATGTGTTTAATTATTTATACGCTGAACAGCTGAGCGTCCGAATATCTTTCAATTTGTTGTCCTCACCCTTTCAAAGAACATCCTTTCGTTCAAAGCAAGAGGAAAAGAAGCGAACACTGATTTGGTTCGCTTCGTCTGTCCCAAAATACAAACCGACAGAAAAAGCATATTTCTGTCGTTTAAATGCCGTGTCCCTGGACAGGTTATCTGTAAAACAAAATCAACAAAAACAACTTCAGACAACAGTAGTTGTAACGGAAAGTTTTATACCACGGTTGCAAGAATATTCGCAAACATGACCCTGATATTTTCGCATTTTAAAAGAAATTTAACCTGATCGGTGTCTTACCTGATATATATCTAATTCTACAGTGCAAGTAAGTGCTTTTCGTGGCATGTTAGAGGACTAAAAGGTGCAGAAACTAACAGAGGAGCTACACAAACTTCAGAAAGATTAAACAACTACTGCTTTGCTGCCAAGGACGCCAAAATGCGAGTGGTAACCAGGCCTGCTGCTAAAACTTATGGAGACCTCCGCTGACCGACTGCTGATGGTATCCTCGTCAATAGAAATTGAGCGACCAAGTGATCCTAAAAAGACTTTAAATTAACCTTTTCTTTGAAGGCGATAGTTCACTAAAATTCCCTAATATAGCTCACGGTAATACATCACACTTACCAATTTTCTCCTGTCCAACTTTTCCGGCAATATTGATCCCTCCCCCCCAGTGAGCCCCTAGTATGGGGCCTTACTGTTGACGTCCCTCGGGTCCTTTGAGGAACCGTCGAGGGACTTTAATGGTCCTTCCCGCCTTGGATCTTTTTGGCGGTGAAGCAGCCTCTGCAGCTTCTTGTTCTTTGGCCAGTTTTCTCTTTCTTCTCTCCTTTTGTCTCACGGTGCAAGGATTACATGCCTGTTGAAGATTTAAAAAAATCTGGATTTCTAATAAAAGCAATTTTCGATTTCGCCTAGGTCGGATATGCTGCCCAAACTGTTAACCACTGACATAAATTGAGAACAAATTATAGCTGACATTTCTACGGTGACGAACTTAATCTTGTACCCAGATCTTGCTTGTATTTCCCTGATCTGCGGTCGCGTAACTGTCAAACGCTTATGATAGGGTTAGGCCCTAGGCTAGCTTGCGAGCAAGCTCTCTTTTAAGTAGGAGACAATCTACTCCAAGAGCTGCTATTAGAGGGCACTTCCACATGAAAAGTTCGCGGTTTTCGCGGATGATCGTCGGAAAATGATAAGTAAGCCCCTAACAGAGACCAATCTGGGTGTGGCTCAAGCTGAATTCGACCTCTGAAAGATATCACTTGAAACGGAATAGGCTCGATTACTAGCCGCTGTTCAGGAAAGGAGCCCGCGCTAGTAGACGGGACTCAAGAGACCAACAGAAATCCAGCCTAAAAACAAGGTAAAATCGGGTTGACTAGCCTACACGACTTGTACGGTTCGTGGCATTTGTACATTTGCCGTTCTCTGTTCGGTCACTCGACCTTTTTTGTAGCTTTACTCGTGTTTATGAAGGGCAGTTCATGTTGTGTAATAAGGAGGAATTTTAAGTAGAGTTGAGCCATTAGATCGTGCTATGGCAAATTTTTGTACTGTAGGTCATAGGTCTGCATGGTTTCCGCTGTTATCTACCTGTCGTTTCGTAGAGTTTGACACCTCTGTAATTTGCCATGTGTTTATGCATTGTTTAGACTCATTTCTATTGCAAGATATGCTTTTAAGTCTCCACGGATTTGCTTTTGAGGGTCAAAATATGAAATTTACCGTGAACATGTTGCTTATTTGCATTCTATATTGTGACGCCGGGCCCGGCTGTGATTAGAACTGTTTGCAAGTATAGGTACATCCTTATCACGGATATCATAATTGTTCTCGCACGATTTTCTTCGGAGACGTCCGTAGCTTTACTTCGAAAAAGCTGTACGTTTGTCTAGAGACATTCTTGCAGCTATCTGATCGAGCTTATGTTTCTCTTGCTCAATGCATAGGTTTATTCCTCCTTTGGTCGTTCTGGCACCACATGATCCAAATGTAGCTGTTTACGCGCAAGTCTTGTTGACTGTTTTGCGTGTTGTATATGCCATTGTTCGGCTTAGCTCAGGCAAGACCTTGGTTTCGATCCTCCGTGTGGATCTCATCAGTTGCCGGTATTTCTAAAATGCTCTGTACGTCTCTACGTCCTTACAGCAGTTTCTTTATTCACTTAATCTTCCAACAGTACCCTAAAAAAAAGACTTTGACAGCTAAAAATAATGGCGTTTCGTCATTAAAAACCTCAGTGTTACCAGCATCCTTGATTTATACCTCTAAGCGAGACGACGAGCCTTTCCGACCTTTTCATATGGGAGTCTCCAACCCCCCCCCCCCCCCCCCCCCCCCCCCCCCCCCCCCCCCCCCCCCCCNCCCCCCCCCCCCCCGCTCCCCCTTCAAAGGCTTACTCGCAGGCTAGCGAGAAGGAGGCGGCAATGGCCTGTCACGAAAGTAAAGTGATTTGATTTCGCTCAGTCTGACCTGGATGTGTGTCTCGTCCTTTTTGTAGTGATACCAATGCGTCACACAATCACCGCACGTCTGAAACGAGAACAAGACAAACAGGTTGCAAGGCGGGCAGCATATCAAACAGTGGTTGTTATAGTGACCACAGTACTAAGAGAGTCTCAATGGGGTTAACCTTTAGCCGTAAAACGGACCAAAAATTTAGTCGTTGCGCTTAAAACTTGGAGAATTTTAACCGTTAACAATAAAAAAATTTTGAAATGAAAGTTAATTTTGAACTTTTAAAACAATGGTAATTAATTTGTAAGATTTTTGTTAACCGTGAGGAAAACAAATTAACCGCTAGCCTTAAAAAACCAAAATATTAACCGTTAGCCGTAACAGCCACCATTCCATTGACACCCTCTACTAATTAATCAGCCTGAGTATTGATCGACCATAGAAACTCGATCATATTGGACGGTGTGGGTTTTATATCGTAAGTCTAGTACACCCTTATTTTTAAAATGAGCAACCTTTGCTACTGGCGTATCACTGCTTTTAGAGGATTGCAGCTTTGGGAAATAGCGTATACGTTTTTCGGGTCGAGTAGCTAAAACGTGTACCATATGCATGCGAGTGTATCCATCTATAAAATTAAAAATGTTTAGCCTGAGACATTTTCACGAAATAAAGCAATCGGTTTGTTTCATAACAAGGTAGGGGTGCGTGAAAAGCATAAAGGTTCTTGGAAAACATTCCAGCGTAGAGGACTAGTCGGCAGATACCTGCATGTAACCGAGTGATGTTCGGCTTGAAATGGCAACTATTCACCCGAACTTTTAATCAGCTGAATCGAAATTTTTTAAGCCAATTTTGGCAGCGGCTACCTCATATAAATACAATGATGTGTCCCGAGTGTTGGTCATACCTATTACCTTATTTGGCATTACTTTGGCCGCTTTAGAAAAGTCATGCCCTTTTCTCTTCAAACTGAAAAAAAAACCAACAACAATAATATAATAATTATTATAATAACACTGTAATAATAATAATAATAATAATAATAATAACACCAGAAGCATCGCAAAAATTACATACTCTATTGACAACATCTTCTTTATAAAGGCCAACAATTTTTGTCCCTATTAAAACCCTCCCACAATGGGTTCACCTCTCTATATTCTGCCCCATTTTGGCCGCTGTTGTTGTACTATTTCAAAGTAGAGTCTACCAATGGGCGAATTAATTATTCGTTTTGAATCTCGAAACATTCCAATTTTTAAATGTTTTTGAACTTATGAGAGATTTAAAATTTTTGATTGAGGACATGTTCTATAGCTTCCCTCTCCCCCACCCCCATGTTCTCTCGAGTCGTTCCACTATTCTGCTTTAATAATGCTGACTGTTGGAAAAACCTTACTCCTGTCTTTTGCAGTCACTCTCACTTCCATCCACGATCACGTCACCTATTCAACCGCAGAAAGCCAACCAAGTGCGTTCAATTCGCCGACCGGCACTGCCAGTCATCTCTTGAGATACGAGCCAGTCAGATTTCGAAAACACAATAAGCGCTGGAAAATACGTCAATAATGCTAACAAGATGGGGTGGGGGGGAAATGCCCATAAGGAAACAAATTGTGGCACTGCATCTGCTTGGTGGAGAACGCAACTCTGTCATTGGTCAAAGTCCTCCGTGCGAGTTCCAGGAACCTCTTACGCATGCGCAATACTAATACTTTTGATGTAAAATGCTTTGATGAAATTTCTTGCCCAGTAAGTACTCACGCTGAACACAGCCGTTTCTCTTGTTTGAGATTCCACATCTCCTTTTCTTTCTCCCTTCGATGCTGCTCCTCCTCGTATGGATTTTCAACAAGGTCTGTTGTGTAAAATTAAAGGAGAAAGG